AACTCAAGAACTGAGTGTTGCAAAAAAGTGCTATGACCAGCAAAAAGGACTTTATTTTTTGTACTTCTGTTTGGAACAACAAGAAGAAAACATGGGCCCCATTGTTTGGACAGAGTAACTTTACTCAGTGACAGAGAGAAAGCAAGATTTACCCAAGTTCTGTTATGCTTCCATCTCAAAAAGGATGGTTATCAGAGTAGGAAGAGTCATACAGGCATTGATGAGAAGACTGAAGCTATGACTTCATGGATCAGGTCACCTGGTCCATATGTATTGTGCCCCAGAACACCCAGAGACTTGGCAAATGAGATTTATGAAGCCAGGGTCCATAATCTTTGAGGGAGTAATTACGAGAGAGGTGTTGGCAGACTGAAAACACTCAAAAGTTTCAAAATGCAAAAACCATCTTGCACTCTCCAAACTAGTGAGCATGGTGTCAACTCTCAGGGAAAATTCTGGACTAGATTATTCAGCAGGCAGGCTGTGAACACTGTTTTAAGAGGAACAGTGAGCCCTGAGAGTCAGCATGGATTCACAAAGAATCAGGTCTGCCAGACCATTCTCATCTATTTTTAGAAATAGTTACCAGGTCACCTAACTGGCTTAGTTGGAGGAGCATGAGACTCTTGATCTCGAGGTCGTGAGTTCAAGGCCCACATTGGGTGTAGAGATTACTTAAATGAATAAATAAAAACTTTTTAAAAAATTTACCTTAAAAAACGAAAAAGAAATAGTTACCTATTTCAACCTGGTAGACAAAGGAAGTGCTATAAACTTTAGGGTTTAGCAAGACATTTTCAGAATGTCTTCTGACATCATTGTTGGCAAGACAGAGACATGTCCACAGAGCATCCAGGAAGGTGAAGGGCTTGGTGATGGGATGTTTGCGTTGATTTATAACTGGTTGGATGAGCATACCCAAAGAGTAATGATGTCAGTCTGTCAGCCTGTCTGCCTGGCCCTACCCTGTTCACTGTTTAATCAAAGCCTGGGATGAGAACACTGATGGTAAGCTTAACAGTTTTGTCAGGGATATGAAGTCAGGGGAGGAATGCCGGTCTGATGGATGCCTGCCCCAGGTTTCAGAAATACCTGGACTGCCTCAAACAGTAGCCAGATAATGCAGAGCTGGGCTCTCAGCTCCAGTGAATCCCCAGTGCATATGAGATGGGGGAGAAGAGGTCCAAGCGCAGGCCACAGGAGAGAGCCCGAGGGAGATGTCGTTGACAGAGAGTGTGCTGTTAGAATTGGTAGTATGACGGGGTTACAAAGAATAGACAATTTGATGACAGTTTTGAAATAAGGTTTCCCAAATAAGAAAAGCTCATAGTCCCTCTTTGAGCTGCACTGATTAGACCACATGCTGTATTTATTTCCACACACGGCACTTCACTTCTGGACCTGACACTCTGGCTTTCACCAGCTAGAGTAAACGCAAGCGGGGGTGACTTGGATGGCTGGAAGATTTCAGAACCATGTCCTAGGAATATATTTGAAAGTGGGGGCCACGGATACTGGAAAAGAGAAACTGATGATGGTCTGTGAGAGCAGTCTCAGGGATTTGAAGGCTATCATGGGAGGAGGGATTAAACCACTCTGGGCAGCTTGAGGTTCGGCAGACAAGAATTGCAAGAAGACCACTGTGCTGTGTAGAGGGAAGACGGCCCTGCCAGAACCTCCCTCTGCAGAACAAAAGCCTCAGGGGTTTTTGCTGGCCTGTAGTCGTGCCTTCCCAGAGGCCCAGTGGTTGACCAGGGCCCGTAGTATCTGTGCAGGGAGTCAGGAGCCCTTCAGGCCCCATCTCAGAAGTCCTGTCTCCCAAGCTCAGGGCAAGGACCTTTGCTCAGAAGTGGGGACTGACTTGGCCAGAGGCAGTCAGTAAAGGCAAATAATTCCCTATTAAGCTATCAACATTCTTGCAGGAAGAGTAGATCGACTTCTAGAGGCAGCCACCTAACATCCTGTTAATGCATTCCAGATATATTTTGAGCACCTACTGCATCCCCAGGCACTGTTAGATGCTTCATGTGGGTCATCTGGTTTAATCCTTATAACGATAGGGTATTATTTTCTGTTCCCATCAAGAGGATACTGATGCTTAGAGAGAGGGTAAGTCATTTGCCTGAGCTCATGTGAGACTCAAACCCAGAACATACGTGTTAGCCATTCTGCCGCCTGGAGCAATAGCTCATCTTTCCTCCCCCGGCCCCGTATCCCTAGCAGTCCCCAGTGGGTGTAGGGCCTTCTTCCCGGGGAGCCCTTCTCCTTTTCAGCCCCCTGAAACTCTGCCTTCTCCTCCACTGGGAACTCGGGGAGAAAACAGCCCAGCTGAAAAATTAGGCCACGCTGGCGAGCACAGTACTTATTTTTTTATGACTAAGATTAAGCTGACAACCATGCAAAACATTGCAAACCTGTGTCGGCTGCAGATTTAATACCTCACCCAGCCCACACAAATAATTCATGCTTCTGCATCGATGTCCAGAAAAAACAAATCAGCAGAAAGCTGGGCTCATGCATGCGTGTGTGTGTGTGTGTGTGTGTGTGTGTGTGTGTGTGTGTGTGTGTGTGTGTAGCAGCCCTGTTTCCATTGAAGCAGCATGCCGGAAATACCCAAGCTCCAGGATTGCAGATCTAGCATTTTGCAATTTTTTTTTCTCTTAAAAGATTAAAGTACGTTTTCAAATGATTGAAGGTTGGTGGGAGGTGTAAATGTGGGCACTTGTCACATTAATTCTTCAGATGATTAAGTTCTTTTCCATTTCTTTAAAGCTGTTTGCAGTTGGGTTTGATGTCCTCGTTCTGGGTGAGTGTGTTGTAGCAGTTACCAAGGTGACTTTAGCTGACTTTCAACAATTTATTTTTCCCTCCAGCGTGAGATGTCTCTAGCCCTGTGTGCTGTTGATTCTTCTCTCCCAGCCCCACACCCTCAGCCCAGTTGCTATTCATCAGCATTTTTGCTGATGCCCAAGAGGCAGCCATCCTCTAGCGGGCCCCACGGGCTCTGAGGCCCCGCCCCGCAGCCTGGCTGCAGGCCCCTTCGGGCACATGGTGGCGGGTCTCTGTGTGGGCCGTTGTCAGAGATGGCACGGGGAGGTGACTGGCTCTTCCCCTTAGACTCACTCTGATTCAGGCTTGCCACCTCACCTCTCTGAGCCTCCATTTCCTCACCTGGGAGAGGATTAACCATAGAATATACATGGGTGCTCGCTGTGAGGACTCAGCCAGTGAGTCTACCGACTCCTTGCTCTGGAGCAGAGAAGGGCTGCTGTCAGCATCCTGAGCTCTGCTCTTGTCTGGGCCCTGAGGGCACCCACCGAGCACTGATGGTCAGTGTTGCCCTCCTCAGAAGGGAGGCCTAGCAGCCAGAGTGTAAGGGAAGGAGGTCTAGTCAGAGGTCCTCGGCTCCCACACTGGCCTGCCACAGACCAGCTCTGTGGCCTTGGACCCGTCACGGGCTCCCCTTTGTAAAGGGAAGAAGTAGATTAAACCACCTCAGAGTTTCCTTCCAGTCTTGAACTTCTGTGACCCTCTTGGCCATAGCATTTGTCTCCTTCGCAGGTCTTGTGAAAGGGTTTGTCAGAGGAGAAGCTAGGGCAAAGAGCAGTTTCAGAATTCGCTTTGGGAAACCAGAGGAAGACACCACTTTGTGAAAGAGCCGTTACATCTGGGGTAGATCCACACAGCTGGTAGGAATGGTCCCCATTACCTCAGGGGCTCTTAGAAACCTCTGCCTTGGCGGGCCCCTGGGCTCTCTGATGCCACCCTCCATCCTTTTGCCTGCTGACCCCACACCTTCCCTTTGGAGAGGTTCTCTGCCTGTTGGGGTGCCTCATTGGCCACAGGCCCCAGCACTCAGCCCCCCAGCATGTGAGGAGGTTGGGCCTGCCCCTCCCTGATTGTCTGACTGTGAGCCTAGACATCCTGGATGGCTCCTGCCTCTTGAATGATAAATAACTAGAGCTTCTCACCCAGTATTTTGATGGACACTTGGGGAATTGTTCTGAGATTCACAGCCCAAACCAGGATCCGGCCTTTTGAATAGGATCAGTGGGTAACCCTCATTTCCGGCTGAGGCAGATTTGAGAGGCTCTCAGTAGGGGCAGCTGAATTTGAAAGAGCATATCTTAGATTGCAAAGGGACCCCATGGCCCAGCTGTGGGATGAGCTGTTGGTGGGAAGCAGGACAGGAGGGAGCGTGAGGCAGCAGTGACAGTTCACCGTGGCCAAGGCCACAGTCAGGAGGAATCTGGAACAGGGCTCCTGGGGCCTCAAAACCCAGCAGGATGGTGGCCTGGTTCTGCTGCCCAGCCAGGCCCACTAGTCTGACTCCTGAGAGTCTGGTTTCCGCCCCCTCGCTGAGGATTGTATCATTTCCTGGTCAGATGAAGGATGTGTATGTCACGGCAGCTCCTGGCCGTTAGCGGGAGTGTGCATGCTCAGAGCCTGCAGAAAGTCACAGCCTTTTCAGCTGGAAGGAAGCTCTTGGAGCTGTACCTCCTGGGACTCTAGCACTCCAGCTTTGGGGAACTTGGGACCTGAGGCTCCAGGGCAAGGGAAGAAGGGCTCCCAGATGCTCTTGCTACTATGTAGGGAAGACCAAGCCACTGTGACATAAACTTTTATATGGTGTGTTGGCCAAAGATGAGGCTTTAGAACCCGATCTAACTGCGATCAAATCCCAGCTCCATACTCCCCGACAGGGTGACATGGACAAGTTACTTAACCTCTCTGATCCCCGATTCCTTATCCATAAGAGGGACGTAACAGTACCTGGAGTAGTACCCACCGCATGGGGATGTGGAGAAGAGTCGTCCGTGAGAAGTGCTTTGCCCAGCAGCTGGCGTTCGGCGAGCACACGGTGAATGGTGGCTGCTATTGTCACTGTCGTCAGTCACCATCATTGTCGTTATTCAGGAGGCCAGCCTGACAGACTCCCGTCTTGCTCCTCCCCATGGTATTTACCTTGTGCTGAACCTCCTCCTGTGCTTGCCTTGCAGGAGCCGCAAAGATAGCCTGGAAAGTGACAGCTCCACGGCCATCATTCCCCACGAGCTGATCCGCACACGACAGCTGGAGAGTGTGCATCTGAAATTCAACCAGGAGTCAGGGGCTCTCATTCCCCTCTGCCTAAGGTGAGCCCCACGGCACACGGCTTGTCCTCAGGGAGCTGCCAGGCCTATGCTTGCCTTCTCCCCCATACCTGGGCGGAGTCAGGGGCCCCCCGGGAGAGAGGAGAGCCTGTCAGGCAGTGCCTCTTGGGCCTGGGGGGGGGGGGCGGGCTGTGGACTCTGAGCCAGCCTGTAGTCCCCACTGGGCTGAAGGACATTCCTTTGTCCAGAGAGGTGTCCCTCAGCCCCACTCCCTTAGGAAGTTTCAGCCGCCTGGCAAACTCAGACGCCCCTGCCATCCCACAAGCCCAGAGTCAGTTGCGCTGGGTAGCAGGGCAGAGGCTCTGGGGGGTTGGACTCTATTTTCTTCCGCTTGTTGCTTTTCCCATGCAAAACACTCAGTTCTCCAAACCCAGTGGCCAGCACAACAGACTCCTTGAGGGACCGAGAAGCCCAGCTGTGTCCTTTCCGCTGCTGTCCACAGTGCCAGAAACCCAGCCCTGTGGCCAGAATTCAGCGCTCTGCTTGGGGATGCTGCCCTGGGCTGAATCTGCTCAGCTGGCTTCTTGCAGAGCCCTTGGGGTTTCCACCCTCACTTTTATAGCAGGGAGGTGACCAGAATAACTCTCAACTCAGACAACAGTGACAAGGAAGAAGGGGGTTGCCCTGGTTTGGTCCCTCCCCACTGTCCCCAGAGCCTGAGAAAGGAGTTTGGATGCTAACCAGCCTTGGCCAGCCACCCTGGGCAGCAGGGCAAAGATAGCAAGTGGTCAGAATGAACAGGGGCTGGCAAGGCCCCCCCCCAACAGGACCCCAGCCATTTCCGCCCCAACTCCCTCTCTGGCTCAAGCTCAGGACCTTTAGACTGGTGAAGGGTTAATCTGAGGCAGCCTGGGAAAGCAAATGGCAGGCTGGGCTTCCTTTGCTGACTGGCATCTCTGCCTCACTGGTTGTCCCTGCCTGCCCTTCCCCCAGGTGTATTTCCAGACTGGGAATTAGCTGTAACTTCTTTTGGCTCCCTCAGAGTGACCCCATTTGGTGTCAGCCTTTATTATTATTGTTGTTGTTGTTGATTTGTCTGTTTGGAGGTGTGCTTGTGGCCTTGGGGCTAGCCATTTTAATCTTGTGGGAGAGCCCATGAGCAGGTGGAAGACTCCCGTGGACACATGGGTTGTGCTGTGAAGGCACTATGCCATCCTCCCAGGGGCTTGGCAAATTTGTTTAGGTACTACTTCACCTCTGCCCTTGAAACAGAAGGGACAAGACCCTGCTCTTAGTTCTGGGCATGACCTTGGGCATGTTGCTAACTGCCCTCTCTGGCCTCAGTTTCCTCACCAGGACACAAAGGAGGTGTCCTCCCCTCCCCCCGCAGGCCCTTTGAATGCTGATCTAATGTCTCTGCTAGCTTTGAGCACTTTGGAGCAGTGACAGTTGAGAACTTGGGAGAGGCTTCTCTCAGAAGGGGCTGAAATGAACGTGTTTGGTTACAGTCCCCTGTTGGTGGGCAGGTGGGCAGGCAGGAGGGCATTTGCCAGGCACCCTGTCCCTTGGCCAGGCCTGCTGCTCACGGTCTCTGTGTTCCCACCCCCAGGGGCAGGCTCCTGCATGGACGGCACTTTACATATAAAAGTATCACAGGTGACATGGCCATCACATTCGTTTCCACGGGAGTGGAAGGCGCCTTTGCCACTGAGGAGCACCCTTATGCAGCCCATGGACCCTGGTTACAAGTGAGAAGGCTCATTTTCTTCTCCCTACCTTCTTTCCGTGGGCTCTTCCCGCACCCGCCTCCTCCCTTTCCTCCCTTGGCAGCTCTTGGTGGCTCCCTTCCAGAGGGGCTGGTTATGGGAAGCCATGTGGAGTGTGGATGCTGTTGCCTATCCCATCAACTCTAGGAGCACTTCCCGGCCTCTCCCCCCATCACCTGAGACACCAGGGATAACTCTCTAGGCCTTGGCCACTGGTTTGCCATGGAAATCCAGATTTGAGAGATGTGAGACTTTCTGCACCCTGGGTAAACCAAAAGCCAGGAAACCGAGGGTACAACAGGGTAGGAGGAAGGCTGGAAGCCACTCTTAAGTGGCTCTGTGGAAATCCCCCCAGAATTCCTAGAAAATGGGTATGTGGGCCTGGACTGGGGCTGGGATGGGCAGGCTTCAGCAGACAGCCTCCCCACTCCCTTCATCTCATGGCTCTCCTATTCCTCCTAATGGAAACCCAGCTTTTCTGCACAGAAACCTGCTGGCTTGTCCAGAACACTTTGTCCTTCCTTTGCTCTTCTGGCTGGAGCACAGCTTCACAGCCACTGCCAAGCAGGGTGCTCGGGCCTGAGAGCCACAGGCCTCCTTCCAGCCCCCACCCTGTCCCAGGTCTCTAATGGGTACTTGGCCTGTCCGGCACACTCCCATATGTATAAGGGGAACGACATCCTTTTTTCTTTGTTTGTTGGAGGTGTGAGAGGAAGAACACTCTACCTTACTTCTCTCAGGAGTATCAAGAAAGGGGATCTGACCCTAATCCAGAAATTGACTGTGCCTTGTTTGTGGTGTGTGGAGGGGTAGTTATAGTAGAGGGGAAGGGAATTATGCTGGTTTTGTGGGTTTAACCCAGTCTGGGGGGTCTGTGAAGCATACTTACTGGTAATGTGGGCGTGTGTGTGTGTGTGTGTGTGTGTGTGTGTGTGAGAGAGAGAGAGAGAGAGAGAGAGCTTGCAGCTGAATTTCTCCTCCTTCAGGCCTCTTCCCCCTCCCCCCCCCAAATACTAACCCTTAATTAAAAGAAACAGCAAACAAAGGACACCAACCACACTCCTCAGACTGAGTGAGGTAGAAATGGAAGCTAGTGCTTTAGGAATATTGTGTTCCATAAATTACCTTGCCTTTTTCCACTGTCGTTATTACATTGTTTCATAACAAAATTACTTTGAACCATAAAGTTATAAATACATTTTAAAAGTCCCACTTGGTAACATTAGATTTCTGTCCATGTGGTGTTGGTAGTTACTGTAATGTTCGAAACTAGCCCCACACAAGTGGAAAGGGCCTCCACACCAGCCCCAGCTATGTCCCAGGAAGGCCAGGCTGCCTCTGTGTAGAGGAGGAGGGCTGCCTATTACCTGGGCAGAGCTGGCAAGGAAGGGGGAGGTGGGGACCTAGCGGGAGAACCCAGCATTCCCTGAGAGTCGAGAGTTCCAAGGTCATCATTCCCAGTAGGTGACTGTGCTCACAGGTCTCAGAAGTGTCCTCAGATAGCATTTATGTGTATTGAAGGTTCAAGCACATGTTCTTGGGAAAGTAGGGACCAGGGTCTCCCCAAACTCAAGAAGAAATCCCCGCCCCCCTCGTTACATCTTATATCTTCACCTCTGAACCTATCCTTGGAGTCTTGCCATCCTTGGAATACCTTCCTACCCTGAGGAGGGGGTGGTCAGCATCTCTGTTCTCAGCAGCCCAGGAGCCCTGGCCCCCAGAGAACTCAGCAGATGTCATGTTGCCCCTCCATGCCCCCAGAGTTCTGAATCCAACCCCATTCCCAGAGCCCCTTATCCCAGGGCCACGGTGTTGTGCTCCCAGGCCCACTCCCGTCACCCTTGGGCAGCCCCTCAGGCTGCTGAAGCACTGGGCAGGGCCCCTCCCTTGCGCTGTTGCCCGGGGAACCCGAGCGGTGGGAACCAGCCGCTGGCCTCGGCATGTTTCAATAAAGTTGCTGTGCTGGGAGCTGCTTAATCAAAGGCCTGTGTTATGGGCTCATTAGTGTGGTCCACCACAGGCCAGCTCACAGGGGAGCTCCCAGGAAGGCTGGCTGGGGCCCCGCTCCCCCAAGCATGCACCCTCACTCACCGAGGGGTTTTTCAGGCCCTTTCCAAGGAGCCCTGGGAAACCCTCCTCAGCCATGGAGCCAACACCCACAGCAGCCCTCCTCCCTTGCCCCCAAAGCAGTTAGCACTTTCTGCTTCTGACTGCCAGCCCGTCTTCCCCTTTAGGGTCTTGCCACTGTGGTCACAGGCAGCTCCCTAGCTTGTGGGAACCTGGGCTTGTAATTACTTGTGGGCCTCTGGGGCTCCCTCTGGGGCTGCTTGTCTCCCAGGAGTCTACAGGGCCTCTTGGAGGCCTGGAGTTAGGCTCATCACCAAGGAAGGGCGGCTCCACTGGACCAACAAGGGCCCCAGGCCCCTCTGGAGGCAGTCCCCCAACATGGAGGGGACTGACCTCCCACCTACCCCCGCAGGAATCTCTTGCTCATATTCCCAGGATCAGGGGTGTCTCCTTGGGCCCGGTGTACCACACTTGTTGGGGACAGAGGAGTAGGAAGGAGCTGAATGCAGCAGGCCCAAGAATGTGAAGAGCGCTACTTGTTTTCTTGGCTGCTACTTGAACGCTCCCTGTTGATCCCAGCTGAATGGGGAGGGGCTGGGATGACTTTCTTACATCAGCCTCAACAGCTTTGGAAGCCCTCGATCCCAGCCTTGGCACCTTATTCTGGCTACCAGCCCGGGCCTGTTATCTCTTGGGGAAAAGGCACGGCAAAGACACCCCGCATGAGAGAAGAGTGACAAAGGAGAAGGTGAGGGAATCTGGGACCTCACTGGAGTGCGTGGAGTGGCCCCACACAGGCCTCCACACCCGCCCTCTCCTGGTGCTGCCCTTCCCCTCCCCCCATCTCTCCAGCCCCAGAGACATCCAGGCCCCAGCACACTGAAAGGCAGGGCCGTCTGCAGCCCCAGGGTAAGCTCAGCGGACCCTCCTGCCTCCTGGAGGAGCTGGGGAGGCAGGGATCCTGCTCCAGTTCTATAGGCTTTGCTGTCTCCGGAGGTCAACACCTTGATTCCATCTGCCCTACCATCTGCTGTTTCTGTCCACGTCCTCGTGGAGATTGTAAAGCCTGTCAGCCAGCTCCAGAGTTTTGCAGGAGGGTCTTCAGATCCTGGAGGAGGCCTGCCAGTCATCCTCTCTTGCACACCTTCCCCAGCATTCCACATCCCGGTAGCTTTAACAAGCCTCTCTCCCTTGAGTCTGTCAACACTGGGCTGTTAGTCTTCTGAGCAGGAGCCCAGCCCAGAGCTGAGTTGTTCATCCATCCCCAGCCAGGGTTGGTCTGAAGTGGGAGAAGTTGGCCCTAGAGGTCACGTGGGGGTCACATCACCAAATATGAGAATATTTTTTTAAGCCCTGCAATGCTTTCTCAGCTGTGTGGTGTGTGACAGCTCGCCCAGGTGGCGCACCGCCCCCCCTTCCCAGCCGTTTCCCACCCAGCCCTGATGGGAGACTTCGGGCTTGGGAGAAGATGCCCAGCTGCTGTTCCGAGTGGGCTCCCCCCCCACTCCAGGCCAAATTTGGGAATCAATGCTGGGCTCTCATCCTAGCCCAGTGGCTGACTCACCGCTGTCCTCTGGACAAGTCCCCGCCTTCTCCTGTCCCCATCCACCCATTTGGATGTTGTGTGGAAGACACTTGGCAGTTCTGGGCCCAGGCCCTGAGCAGTCCCTCTGCAGTGCGCTGTGGGGGCTGGCCACAACTGTTCTCCCCGGAGACCTGCGCTTGGGCTGTCACAGGGCCTCACTGCCCGGGGGTGTACCCAGTTAGGGTTTAAATCCCCCCACTGTGCCTGGGGAGAAGACCATGGTGGCCCGCTGTGCCCTCACCAGCCAGCAACCAGAGCAGGAGGAGTCTGAGCCTGCTCCTGGCCACCAAAGCCAACTTCTCACCAGCCACTGAGAACAGGAAATGAGTGTGTGCCCCGCACACCTCTGCCCCCAAGCCTGGGGGGTCTCCAAGCTGTTTTCTGGCTTTCGTCTGGCCTGTTGGAGTCGGGGGGGGGTTGGTGGGGGGGGCACAGACCGGACTGCATCCACGTCCTGCCCCCTCCTTGGCCATCGCGGGCACCAGAGCAGCCCCTTGGCGGGCCCCACCCTATAAATAACACATTTCCACCTCTGAAAGAAGGAAAGAGAAGGAAAAAGAAAGCCAGACTTGTCGGGAAGCAAGAAAAACGTGTCAACACGAAGGGCAAACAGGGCCCTGGACCAAGTGTGGATTGTCATATCGAGGGGGAGGAGGGGGCATTGTCAGCGCCGTTTGCAGAGTCAGAAATAGCACCGACCACAGACATTGGAGTCAGATCCGCAGCAGGCTCCTGCCCTCAGCACAGCAGAGCCTGCCAGGGCAGGCATCCTGAAAGATCACTTTTCGGGTTCCTTCCGGAACCTGCTGGGGCCTGGGGAATTGGGAGATTGTTGACAACCCCCCCCAATCACCCACCAACCAGGTTGTCCCTAAGGCACCTGGTGTGAGCACCTTGGAAGAGGTTGCTGGTCTGGATTCCAAGCCCTTCTCTGACCAAGAGTGGAGGTTAGGGGTGGGGAGCAGGGGGCGACTGTTCCCCTTACAGCCTGGCCAGTTAGATGGTGGTGAAGCTGCAGCCACCGACTCACCCCTGTGCCCAAACCCCATCCCCCTGCGTGAGCCTGAGTGTTCCCCACCACATGGTTTCTTGGGATGCCTCAAAAATGCAGACACCTTGGCCTTGCCAGGGTACTCGGATTCAGAAGGTCTGGATGGCATCTCCATAGTTTCAAAAGCTTCCCAGGGGAGTTAGCTGCTCACTAGAGAGCCTCCTCCCTCCAAGGGCTTCTTGTGCACAAACATAAGCCTTGGGGGCGCCTGGGTGGCTCAGTTAGTTAAGCGACTGCCTTCGGCTCAGGTCATGATCCTGGAGTCCCGGGATCAAGTACCGCATCGAGCAGGGAGTCTGCTTCTCCCTCTGACCCTCCCCCCTCTCATGTGCTCTCTCTCTTTCTCATTCTCGCTCTCTCAAATGAATAAATAAATAAAATCTTTAAAAAAAAAAAAAAGCGTTTGATGCCCAGCTCTTGGTGAGTGCAGACATTACTGAGTGCACTTGCCATTTTCCGTATAATTAGTTATTTCTGTTGCTGTTTTCTGGGCTAGAGTAACTGTTGCCTTATGTATGCGTTCACTAAGCTGGCCTGGGCATGTGCCTCACTGTTCCCACTTGGACACCATCTTTGGGCATGGTTTGCCTTCCTTTCCAATTGGCCATCTTGGTTTTTGAGCTGCTGGGTGTCTGTGATGCTCAGGGTTCCAGCCCTCTTAAGCTGAGCAGAGTTGTTCCTCTTGAGGAAAAATGTGTGGCTTGTGGGGGTTAATATGGCTGGTCTTCCAGGCCATTCGTAGAAGCCAAAGTCACCTTCACCTCCCCCATCAGAGAAGAGTTAGCCCTGAGTATACAAGGCTTCTAGAATTGGGGTGTTTTCCCCAGACGCGAGGAAAAGTGTATCCTCTACCACAGTGAGGTCAGATCACTGTTCTAAAGTCCAGGAGCCTTATCTCCTCTCAACACCTGCTCGTCTGCAAAATGGGGGTGATAGTTACCTCCTCTGCAGGCCCGCCAGGAGGGCTCAGTGAAATGGTACCGCTCAAGCCCTTAGCCCAGCGCGCGGCACCTGGAGGAGGCGCTGCTTCAGCTGGAGGTGGTGTCACCGTTACTTCTGGCATCGTAACCCTCCTGTCATTATTTGTGGCAGAGCCAGGCAGCCCCATGGGGACCCAGTGAGCTTCCAGAGCCTCAAGCCCCAGACTGCACCGGCTTTTCCCACAGTTGCATCACAACGGCGTGTCTGTTGCTCAGGAGAGCGCCCAGGAGCCGCTCCGTCACAGTTGTCTATCTCCAGTGTCCTGTTGATAAGATCTGTTCACATTCTCAGCTCCAGGTCTGAAATATACAAAGAACAGGGCCTGTTTGTTCAATCCAAGCTTCTAAGGTTTAACTCCCAAAGGAAATTAAATTAGACGCCTGGAGCTATGACAGTCTGTCGTGTTTCTTTGCAGGGAATGTCACCCTTAATATCATGCAGATCTTGTGTATAATTTTCTCTGTTTAATTCTTTTAAAATAATGTGAAGTTTCCAGCAGGAACCAGCAAATCACCAGAAGTGAAAATTGAGGCGCCACCAGGGTTTGTCCCCTTTTCTGGTCTTGCCATCCCCTCCCCCAGCTGAGTATAAAATGAGTCCACACCCAGATGACGTGCTAGCTTGGTGCGGTTCTGCTGACAGTCACCATAAAGCACCCTCTCTCCACCACCTATCCCAGACCTTTGTCAGAGGAACTGGCTTGGGGCTGAGCTCAGCATTAGTGGGGTTGTCTTGCCCCTTGTTGAAAAACAGCGCTTTGGTGTCTCACTGGGTGGTCGCCGTCCCTGTGAACCCTCCCCTCCACCTCAGCCCGTGCGCTATAGTCCCAGGCCTATTTACCTTCCTGGCAGAAAGTCCCTCCCTCTGAATTATTTGTGGGTTGGAAATCAGCGCAGCCTGGCCCGGACTGGAGCCATTGTGATATAATTGGGTTTTAGGTATGCTTGTGTTTGCGCTAGCATTTGCAGAGATGGCAACAAGCCCCGGAAATGCCAAAAACATGAATGTGACTTTTGTGCTACTCAAGCCGACTGGTGATAACTGGTAGGGAAACTCTGGACTGTGGGTGGAGGGGGGCCCTGGGATAAGGGGAGGAGCCGGGGCCCTGGCAGTGGGAAGACTGGGGTATGACGGGCAAAGAGTCATTGGAGTCTGGGAGAAGGATCACCAGTCCCACCTGGGGGCACTTGGAGGAAGAACGGGGGCGGGAGGGGGCCGCCTCGGGTGGGCATTTCCCTGGACTGACTGTGCCTGTCTAAATCTTGTCTCTGTCCTCACTGGAGGCCTGAGCTCCTCAAACAAAAAAACCTGGGGGAAATAGGGGCCAGTGGTCAGAGCTATTTTGCTGCTGACTGCGGGCTTGCAGCCTGGGAAGGAGACGTCCTTTGGCTCCCTGTCAACCAAGAGAGGGTGCGTGTCCAGGTACAGCATGGACCGCTTTCATGCCTGTGTCCCTGGGGCCCCACCCAGGGCCGGGCCTAGCAGAGGCACCTAAGGGAATGCCGTGGAATTGGGTAGATCAGTGGGCAGATGAGCGGAAGAGTGAATAAAGGCGTCAGTGCTGTGGCGGGAAGAGCCCTGGGTGTGGAGGCTGCACTTCAGGCACTACTCTAGAGTCTAGATAGGTCTGGGATATGGTCTTATCTCAGCCGCTCACAAGCCGTGTGACACTGGGCATATTACATAACCTGTCTGTGCCTCAGTTTCCTCATCTCGGAGGAGACTCAAGGAGATAAGATACATGAGCAGTCAGCACAGGGCCTGGTATGGTGGTGGTTTGCTCACCCAGGCTTCTCATTCCTTGCTCCCGCCTCCACCCCATCGACTTCCTTCCTTTGGAGTCCTCCATCCCATGTGGTCCCCAGCCACCCCACTTGCTGCTCTTCTGCTCTCCCGTGCCATTTCACTTCATCTCACAAGCTGACTGTATTCCAGATATATATATATATATTCCAGATATATGTGTATATATATATATATACATATATACACACACACACACATACTCCACTTATCGGAGTGGACAACTCCTAGGGGAAACCTGAGGAGTATTTTCTCAAGTTCTTTTTTTTTTAAAGATTTTATTTATTTATTTGACAGAGAAGGACACAGCAAGAGAGGGAACACAAGCAGGGGGAGCGAGAGAGGGAGAAGCAGGCTTCCCGCAGAGCGGGAAGCCCGACATGGGGCTCAATCCCAGGATCCTGGGATCATGGCCTGAGCCGAAGGCAGACACAACGACTGAGCCACCCAGGCGCCCCTATTTTCTCAAGTTCTTGATCCCCATCCTTCCCTCAGCAGAGTCATTCACCTTGGTCTTCACCCCATTGTCTGTCTTCCTCTGTGCCTCTCCCGGGGCATTCAAAGTTTGCTGGAGGAGGCAAAGCAGAGGCAGGTGGAGCCACAGCCTGGGGGGTATAGAAGGGTCTGGTGCCGAGGCCAGGAAGCCCCATGGGTCAGCACGGGGAGAAGGGTGGAGGAAACGGGTCAGATTGGGAAGAGAAAAGACACCCTCAGCGTGGGCCCGGTGTGCAGGCCTGGTGTGAGCTTGTCCTGACTCCGCAGAGCGAGCCTGAGCAGAGGAGCCAGTTGGGAAAATGGCCCATCAGGTTGAGGAAGGCCTGTGAGGGTAGGGCTTGTGCCAGCTGAATAGCGGGGCCAGGCTGTCCTAGACATCAAAGCATGAAGTGACAAGGCATCAGACTAGAACAGCAAAGTGGGACAGCCAGGAGGTGATCTGGAGAAGAGGTTTCTCAGAGGAAGTTGTGAAGAACTCAGTGGCTGAATGAGGTCAGCAGGGCAAGGGTTTGGGAGCTTTCAGCTTGAGAAACTGTGGATACTGCAGATGGAAAGGGGACTTGAGAGCCCCTTTTCCATCTGTAAAATGAGAGAGGGTGGTGCACAGTTTCCAAATTCTCCAGCTCATACATTCTTGGATGTACCTTCTGGGGCATTTCCAGATTCCAGACAAGGCCTGTATTCCAAATCCAAACAGATTCCTTTTGTCCTACCAAGTCGGGAGTGAGGGGGAACTTGGGAGCCCGGCTGGGCACGGGGCATGTTGGCGATCGCTCTCACCCAGCCACCTGCTTCTCCCAGCCCTTCTACTGCACTACAGCGTGCAGGAGGCCCAGACTGCCCGGCCTGTATCCCTTCTGGGGACCAGCACTACATTCTTTCCAGATATCCCCGCCTTGTTTCCCCATCGTCTTCTGACACCTTTCCTTCCCTGCCCTGGTCCCTGCGGGATTGCAGGCAGGTTGGAGGGGTGGGGGAGAACGCTGGTCTGAGATAGGCTTCCAGCACTTCCATCTGTCCCTAGAACAGGCTCACAGCTCCTCCACGGCCAGAAGAAAGATCCATGGCTTGGCAGTTGGCAAAAAGACCATATATTAAAAAATAATAATAAACTCTCGTCTTGTGCCTTCTTCCCAGATTCTGTTGACTGAAGAGTTTGTAGAGAAAATGTTGGAGGACTTAGAAGATTTGACTTCTCCAGAGGAAGTAAGCCTGTTTCATTCTAACAGCGGCTTCCAGTCTCCAGGAGCCCATGTGTGTCTTTTGGTCTGTCAGTCTCCGAGGTGTGGGGATGGGCTGGAGAGGAGCCCCTGCAGATGTGAAGCAGCTTGATCTCTGGCCCCTCCACCCCAGCCATCATAAGGACACCCAGCCAGTTGTCTGAATTGGCAGCTCCCGAGAAGCTCACTGCAGGGGCAGCCAGGGCCTTCGGGCTAGTAGTTCTTCCCCAGGCCCTGCTGTTCCCTGGCAGGTTCTGAACAGAAAGCCCACGCCTGCTGCCAGAGAATATTCCATTGGGGAGTTCTGGTGGCAGTGAGGGACTCCTGCTCTTCCCTCAGGCCACCCAGGAGCCGGTCTCCTTCCTCACTTCTGCAGCCAGGAGCTCTCCCCTCTTGATCTGCCCCTTCCAGCCCGAGACCCTGGCCAGCCAGGTGGGAGCTTGTGCCTTTCTTGGCTGCTCATCTGGGGTACAGGAATGGAGCCCATAATCCCCTTTGTTTTTCTTCCTTGTTCCTGGCATCCTCATTTGCAGGGACTTACCTCATCCTGGAAAGTCCCTTCCCCTCCCCCGGCCTCCTACGAAGCAGCACCCCAGTGGGATCTGAGCCTTGCTGGCCTCAATGCCCCACAGGTTAGTGGAACATTAGCAACCTAGTCAGGCCTCTGGAGAGCTCTTCCGGGCCCTCCCCTGCCTGTGGCAGAGACGGACAGACCCTTCCATTGCCCCTTCTGCCGGGAAGCGTGTTTGGGGGAGAGCTCCTTCGGCTCTGAGGCGCCAGCCTTTCAAGCCAGAGGGAGGCCACATAGGAGCTAGCTTCCAGCCAGGCCTGGAGCGAACAGCTGCCGGGGCTTCCAGGGCCACATCAGCCAGGACATGGTGGCCTCCGTCACTCACTAGGTGGAAGAGAGCCCACAGGGTGAGCCTGTCCGGTCCAGGTCTCCAGGTGGACAGCAACTCCTCAGAGCCTGAGGTCACCTCTGTCCTCTGGGATGTGGCTTGAGAAATTAACTCATTTACACATTCCAAAGCCACCCGTCCCTGGTGTGTGCCAGCCAGTCAACCCCCACGAGTCACTGGTCCCTGAGGCCTGGCTCCTATTGAGTCAGCCCAGCGCCAGCTACCCAGAAGCGCTTCCGGAGAGGCTGCGTCGCACAGGGTGGTGCTCATCACACAGGGCGGTGCCGTGCCAGACTGCAGCTTTGAGCCTGGGTGTTGAGGAGGTGGGAGGGGGACAGTCCAGGCAGGAGGGACAGGAGCCAGGGGGAGCTCAGGAAAGTAGGTCACTAAAAATGACTTTTTTTTTTTTTTTGGTTCTCTGTCCAGAGGCTGTCCCCACAGCCAGCTCCACTCTCCACTTTGGTCCTGGCTTGGACAAGTCCCCCATCAGAGGGAGGGGGAGACAGGGCCAGCCACTTCCAGCCCCAGCTCCAGGCAGGCCGAGGGCCCTGTTCTTTCCTCCTTTCCAGCCTGGCCTGACTTCTCACCTAGCCCCAGGACAGTAGGAGTCATAAAACGCAGACCCTGTTTTCAAGTCAGTGAGCATCTAGTGAGCGCACCAGCTGTGGGCCAGAGGAAGTAAGATCCATCAGCCTCTTTCCCCCACCCCAGACAGAAGCCCTAGACACAGAACTGTCAGCAAATCCTTGATCCCTGGACTCCGGTAGGAAGAGCCTGGGCTCTCCTTGGCCACCACTGGCACCATGCTCAGGGTGGTAACCCTGAGAAACAGACGAGCTTGAACAAAGGGGAGCAGGGTGGGGCTGCACCAGGCCCAAGAAATCACCCCCAGCCACGCTTGTCCCGCTCCTCTCCTCCCACTGAGGCCAAGCCAGGGCCTCCTTCCCTTTGGACCCCTTGGCAAAGGCCACAGAGGGCGGGTTCTGGGGTCCTTCTGCACCAGCCCCTGCAAGAGAAGCCATGGCACGGACAGGACCACAGAGTTCCAGACCTCAAGCCACTTCCCTGAAGCATCTGCACCCTCCCACCCTGCCCCCACCCCCCAGCCCCAGGGCCTCAGGGAGCAGATTCCTCACATGCTTGTGGCCGGAGGCAGAACCAAGGAAGTGAGCTGGAGGGAGGTCAGCACAGTCAAGAAAGAGTTAGAAAACATGCCTCCTCCAACCCCAGTTAATTATTGGCAGGGCAAGGGGAAAGAAGGGGTCACCGAACTCCAGCAGCTTAACCTCAGCCACCCACCTGGGAATAGCATTTGCGATTGAAGCCAGGCAACCGGTGGCCTCTCTTGCCCCTAGCACCTGGGGGACAGGCGCGGGTGAGGGCCCTGGGCTCTCTGTAGGCAGTCGGGACAGAAGGCCAGGAGTGGCGCTAACTGTGTGCACTCTGGCTCTGTGCTTGCTCCCTCCGCAGTTCAAACTTCCCAAAGAGTACAGCTGGCCGGAAAAGAAGCTCAAAGTCTCCATCCTTCCCGACGTGGTGTTCGACAGTCCACTGCACTAGCCTGGGCTGGGCCCTGCAGGGGCCAAGGGAGAGCCCAGCTGCTCCCCGGTGACTTCCAGAGTACCAACTGCGGACACGCGAACCCCACAAATAGGACACGCGTGAGGAGGGCTGTGCAGCCACCGCACCGCCTCCCCTGCAGCTCCCCAAGGGGAGGGGGGCCTCCCCCCCCCCCCCCCAAGCCGACCAAGCCCCCCCCCCCCGCCCCCCGCCGGGGCTGGGAGCGGGTAAATGCAAACCTTCCCCTCCTGCTGCTGCCGCAGGTCGTGATTGGAAATGTGACTCTGGACCTTCGATGTTGTGCCCTTAGGTGGAGACCCGCCTCATTGTCACCTCTCCCCTGCCGTGGGCCGTCCAGCAGGAGGGAGTGGAGTGGCCGGGGTGCGCACGGCCCAGCTCTGCGGTGGGAAGCCTTTGCTAGGCCAGGTCCTCCGGCCACGGAACAATTCCTCCGATCGTGTTTGGTTTTCTTCCTCCTTATTTTATTTTGTCGAAACCGGATGGTATTTTATTGGTCTTCAAAGATGTCCAGAAGCCGTGTATATAATGTTTTTTAAACAGAACTTTATTCCCAGATGAACTTTCTCATTCTCTCAGACGAAGGCCTGGGGCTGTCTCCCCCTGAGCCACCACCAGAGAAGGTGCCGGGGTTCGGTTCGCCTGCCAGCCCAGGACCCTGGAGGAGCCAGCTTCACAGAGAGGCTGATTTCTTCCCAGCGGGGCCAGGTGGAGCTTGGGGCAGGGGGAGAGCTGAGCTGCTGCCCCATACAGCCTTCGGCCCGTTTAGCCAGCTGGGGCCAGGAGAAGGTGCCGCTGGTTCTCCAGCGGACTAGGCCGCTGGCAAAGTTCCAGGACCACCAGGGTCTCAGAGACTTGCTAGCCCCGGCCTCCCCTTCTGGGCCTTGTCCACCCGACCAGGGCTGCCTGAGGGAGGGTGAGGCCCAGCACCTCGTAGACCCATCCCCACCTGCCACTCAGGGCCTAGGTCTGCAGCTCTTTGACCACTCCTGTCCCATTTCCTCCTCCCCTGGGCCTCCCAGCCTCCAGGCTGCAGGACTCTGGCATATTAAAAGTGGAAAAACCAACCTCTCGCCATGTCCTTCGCTCTGATTTTGCAAACACCGCACCCTGCCGCCCTCATTCTCCGTGTCCGCTCGCTTCCTGTCCTTCATCCCCGTGCCCATGTCGCCCCCCCATGCCTCTTCCTGCATCCCGGGCTCTCCCAGTCCCTTGCCCCACTACTGCAGATCTCATGGTCTTCCTCCTAGAAATAGACCTATCTCTGGCCCGTGGATTTGGGGTTCCTTTTGGGTTGTCTCCCACTTCTGCCTGGAATCAACAAGCCCCTTCGTGCCCTCTCACCCCTGACTCTAGGGACTGCTATTTCAGGCCTCTCCAAAGCAAAGTCCTTTGGTCTGTCATGGGCCTCGTAGGGCCATGCACTGCCCCGTCTGCACCCGCCACACACACAGGCCACTACAGCAGTGCCACAGGTGGCCCATGGGGTGCAGGACGCCGCTGATGAGAGACTCAGCCAAAGAGCTGCCTCCAGGGGTCATGAGGGCAGGGGCCAGGCTCTCCAGGGAGCAAGATTTGGACTTCCAAGGGGCCACCAGGCCCTGGCCGCTTCTCTGCACACACCCTCAGGGCTACCCAGTTAGCAACATCAAACTCGGAGCTTCAAGGTGGATCAGCCTGGGAGACTGGCAGAGATAGGCTCCAGGCCTCCACCAGCGAAGATGGAAGCTCCTCTGGACCTGATGTTGGCCGCAGCTGTGCCTTCTGCTCCAAGGACTTTTCCAAAAGGACATTTTCTAGCCACTGCCCACCATAGTACCTCTGCCTTTGAAGCTCTTGTCATCTAATGTTCATGGCCAGAGAGGTGTCATTAGCTTGTCTCCTTTCCGTGCCACCCTGGCCCACCTCTCCACAAATTCTTTCTTTCTGGGGACCTGCCTCTGCCTGTCTGCTTTGGCTGATGGGGAGGAAGGTATTTTCTGAGCTAAGCTTTGTCGTCAGTATGGGAGGCAGGCGGGAAGCCGGTGAGCTCTGAGACAGTGAGCCCATGAAGCCTGTGGCCCCTTCCTGCCCCATGATGCCAGCAACCTCCAAGGCCTCCCTCTCCTTTCCCTACAGTGCACTGGCTCCAGAGGAGTAGCAGGGCATCCACCATCTCTGACCAGGGGGCTCTCCACTGAGCTTCTGGCTGGTAAGAGAGGACCCTCACTGAGGACCAAGTGAGGCCAACCCCATAGCATGCCCGGCATAGCACTTGGCATACAGTGGGTACTCACTAAATGTACCGCTTCCTTCCCTCCCTGCGGTGCTTCGGGAGCCCTGACATAGTGAGTCAGGGAGGTAAGAAGCCTCCCTCCTAAATCTGCCTCTTCCTCGTGGCTTCCCTGTGGCTTGCCCAGTCCCACCCCCTCCCTCCAGGTCCCTGTGGCTCAAGCTTCTGAGAGGAAGGGGCGCCCCCGTACGTACACATGGCAGACTCTGGGACTCTTCAGGTCCTGTGTGGGCTGCAGGTGGGCTGCAGCCCCAGCTGTCATTCTGCGGGGGTGGAGTGGCTCATGCAAGGTCTCAGGTCTGTCCAGGGAGCTGGTCCCTCTTCCTCCCCTTCTCTTCCTCTTCCAAAGGCAAGGCTTCCGGGCAGGGACTAGGAAGCCTTGGGGAGAATCTAAAGGGCTAGAGTATTTTTAAGAAAAATGCACACAGGGTCTTGGGGCTGGGTTTTGAGACTGAGTTGAGAGCAGGGAAAAAAACCTCGAAGGTTGGTGCCCCTATGGGGCAGACCAGTAGAGAACTCCCTTGACTGTATTTTTTTATCCAGTTGTCTTTCCTCTCTGGCTTCCAGGTCCTCTGCGCCAGGTAAGGTGCCTGGGTCCCTGTTACAAGTCAGGAGCCCTGTAGAGAGAGCCCTCCTTTTGTACAAGTACCTGAATGCTGCAACGAGCAGACTTTTGTAAAATTTTATATTAGTTTCTAATGTCGACTGCGACTCGGTTCCTGGGGGCTGCAGCCAGCCTGGGACTTCTGTAAGAATTTTTGGGTGACTCACTTAGATGTCGTTTCCTTCTTGCTCCCTCTTCCTCTGTGTAATCTAAGTGCATTAAACATATTTGCAGAAGTGCTTGGATCTTGTGCTCCTTTTTGGATGTCTGGAGTAGGGGAGCAGCAAGCCTGGTAGAGGGGTGGGTCGGACTCAGCCACTTAGAAGAACCCGGGATGGGGGAAGGCCCCCCGAAGACTGTTGTCGGGAGTGGAGGGGGTGTCAAGGAGCAGGAGCACACAGCTGGTGACTCTAGGGTCGTGCAGAAATGGCTTTGCAGGCTCCCTTTCACTGGTCTTGAATTCCTCTAAGGTCGTGGGGGGTGTAGGAGCAAGAAACAGGTCTGGGCAAATGGGTGGGTCAAGACCCTCTTTCTTCCTCTTCCGCTCTCCTCTCACCAAAAAGCCCTTTCCCCTTGGGAAGGTGGGCCTTCCCTCCCTCCAGTTTTAGAGCTCTTGTGGCCCAGCTTGGGTCAGGAGATGGCCACTGCCCTCACCATCTAAATTCTACCTCCTGGGATGGACAGGCAGCCTCAGAACCATCACACCCACTGGGTGACACAGAAGGTGGCCCTCCCTTCCCATGAGCCCCTCTGGGCCTGGCCTTGGTGAGGAGGTGGTGGATCTTCCTTCCCTGGAAGGAAGTGGCCTGGCACAACAGAGCCCAGTCCCCGTGGGGAGAAGGCAGCCACCTGGGACCTTAGAGGCAGGCAGGAGAGGGTCCGCACCCCGACGGGGTTCCCAGAACCTGCAGGCCTGCTCTAAACCTTCCCGCCTTCTTTACCTTCCTGCTAGGCCTGGTTGTCTGTCTCGGAGAATAGCAGGGCCTTTTCTCATCCCAGGTGTTCTGCTGGGGCGAGTGGCAGAAGTCCTGGGGGGATCAGCTCATGTGAAGGGACTCTGTCCTCTTTGAGAACCAGCCGTATCTGGGGGAGCTTTCCCCAGGCAGAGGTCAGTACTCCTTCCCCTGTGACCTCCTACTGAACCCCTGGAGCTGGCCCCTGGAGCAGTGGGGCAGGTCGTGTCTGGGGTCCTCAGTCACTCTGGCAGTCAGAGCGAGGGAGCTGGGAGGGCCTGGAGACAGACTGACCATCCCAGGGTGGCCCCGGCCACACTCCTTCCCCTTTTCTTTTCTCCTTGGAGATTGGGAGGTGGGGTGGAGGGGAGGGCTGATTATCTAATCCTCCTCATCTGACCAGCCTAGAAGCACCCAGGGTCAGAGTGAAGTTCCTGCCCCAGAGAGTACAGAACAGCAGGATCCTGTGTTTAGCTGGTTCCAGGAGACAGGATGAGGCTGAGATTATTTCTGGAAAGAGGCTCCTGGGCCTATAGCAGAGACCCCACCCTAGATTTAGGGAGGGGAGAAATCTGCCATGTGATATGTAATGTCACCTCCAAAAGGCCTGTACATTCCTCCAGGCGTCTGCTCTGCCCCATGTGGGGCGGGAGGATGTCAGGGGCCCTGGGTGAGGGGGACCCACAGGTTCTAGAGCCAGGGGGCTAGGGAGCCTAAGAGATTTACCAAACTGGCCTAACGGAAGGAGAATGCAGCTGGAAGTGAGTCAACCCAGGCTGCCAGGCACTGAGGCAGCTGAGGAGGTGGGGAGGCCAGGGTGGCAGAGAGGGAGTGCTGTGCTGGGCAGGAGAAGGGGGAGATTAGTCCCAAGACTGCGGTGGGGCCGGGGGGGGGGGGGGGGCGGTGCCAGGGCAGGATGTGGTCTGGGAGGGGCAACCATCTCTAGGCCCCTTCTGTGAGGGCACCATGGGACCGACCCAGTCCCCTCCTCTCCTCCTTAACTGCCAGGAAGTCTTTGGGAGAAAGCTACAGACAGGATGGGGGAAGGGGAAAGCTGCCTGCTGGTGGGTGTCCACGGTCTATGTCCATTCCCTCCTACTTTCAACAAACGTATGCCCGGCCCTCTGCTGTATGCTGGGAGACTGGGAGACGGAGACGGGACACAGGCCTGGCCCTGGGAGTGTGCGGTGCAGTGGGGAAAACAGACAAGGAAACATCTGCAAGGAAGAGCCACAAAGGAGAAAGGCAGTCAGCTGCTTTCGGTCCTACCCTAACTCCACCACTTGTCACTGTGACTTTAGACAGGTTTTTGTCATCTGCAGGTGGATACTCACTTCTCAGAGTTTTTGCAAGGATTATATGAGATAATACACCTGAGATGCCTGGCACATAGTAATTGCTCAATTAGTGTTAAGCCTTTATTAAAGGGCTGTGCTAGGGTACAGATATAGAAAAGTTACCCAACCCAGTCTGGGAGGATTTAAAAAGGCTTCCTGAAAGAAGTGGCATCTAAGTCAAAACTGAAGGATACTTAAGGATGAAGGGCCCAAGAAGAGGGGGTTTCTTTATTTTTTATAGATTTTATTTATTTATTCATGAGAGACAGAGAGACAGAGAGAGAGAGAGAGGCAGAGGGAGAAGCAGGCTCCCACGGAGCAGGGAGCCTGACGCGGGACTCGATCCCAGGACTCTGGGACCATGACCTGAGCCGGAGGCAGGTGCTTAACCATCTGAGCCACCCGGGCACCCAAGAAGAGGGGCTTTATTTTCAGAAACCCTCCAGACAAACAGAACAACAAGGACAAAAGCCCCAAAACTCTCCTTGGGATTTGGAGAAGCTCAAATCGCTTAAGGTTTTAAAGCATCAAGCTTTCCTTTGAGGACCATCCCCCTGCCTGTTGGATGGAGAACATTCTGAAAGAGAGCAAGATTGGAGGCAAGGACCAGGTAGGACTGGATTAAGGTAGAAGCAGTAGGGATGGAGAGAATGGAACTCATTCATGGAGTCAACAAATATTTGAGCACCTACTATGTGATAGGTCCTGTTCTAGGCACCAGAGATACATTATTTAAAGAAATTCCTCCTTTCACAGATCTTATGTTTTAGTGATGGGAGATAATATTTGTTTAGAATAGAATACTTAGTACATAGATATATGTGCTATGGTGAAAAAAAATAAAGTAGAGGAGGAGAGATAGGGCTGGGATGGGGTGTGTTTTTATTTTTATTTTTTATTTTTTTAAAGATTTTATTTATTCATGAAAGAGAGAGAGAGACAGAGAGAGAAAGAGAGAGAGGCAGAGGGAGAAGCAGGCTCCCAAGGAGCAGGGAGCCCGACGCGGGACTCGATCCCAGGACCCTGGGATCATGACCTGAGCCGAAGGCAGACGCCCAACCATCTGAGCCACCCAGGCGCCCCTGGGGTGTGTTTTTAAATATAGAGGTCAGGGAAGTCCTCCCTGCAGAGGTGACATTTAAGCAAAGGATCTCAGTGACAGGAAGAAGTGTGCAATAGGGACACCTGGAGGAAGAATGGTCCAGGCAAAGTGAAGAGCAACTGCAAAGACCCTGGGGTTAGGGGAAACACACCAGGTGTATTTGAGGAACAAAAGAGGAAGCCAGTGTGGCTGGAGCAGAGTGAGAGAAGGGGAATAATAGGAGATTACTTATACAGAGGTCAGCTTGTGTAGAACCTTGCAGGCAATTATAAAACTTTGACTTTGATTCTGGTTGACGTGGGAAGCCATTGGGAGATTTGGAGAAGAGTGACACAATCTGACATATATGCTTTTTAAATAATTTTAAATATATTATTTTAGAAAGAGAGGGAGCAAGGTGAGGGACAGAGGAAGAGAATCTCAGGCAGATTCCCTGCTGAGCAGGGAGCCCCACGCGGCGCTTGATCCCATGACCCTGAGATCATGACCTGAGCCGAAATCAAGAGTCAGACACCCAACTGAGACACCCAGGCGCCCCACAATTTGACATATTTTAAAAAGATTTCAGGGCGCCTGGATGGCTCAGTCAGTTAAGCTGCTGTCTTCGGCTCGGGTCATGATCCCAGGGTCCTGGGATCGAGCCCCATGTCGGGCTCCCTGCTCATCGAGGAGTCTGCTTCTCCCTCTCCCTCTGCCTGTTGCTCCCCCTGCTTGTGCTTTCTCTCTGTCAGATAAATAAATAAAATCTTAAAAACAACCAAAAAACATTTCTCTGGCTACCGTGTTGACAATTGACTCTGGGAGGTAAGGGCAGAAGCAGAGAAACTGGTTAGGATCTACTGAAATAATCCAGGCTAGAGATTATGGAGATGCGAAGAAGTAGTCAAGATTTGCTGAAGGGTTGGCTATGGGGTGTTCACCGAGAAGTGGAAGACTTCAATGGAACAGGGGCAGGAGTGTGTGCTGAAATTAGTATAGTTTTAGTCATGCTGACTTTGAGATAGTCATTGTACCACCAAGTGAAGAGGTCAAGTGAGCAGCTAGTATACAAGTGGATGGTCTGAGAGATATTTAAGGGAAGGATCTATAGGGGCGCCTGGGTGGCTCAGTTGGTTGAGTGTCCGACTCTTGGTTTCGGCTCAGGTCATGATCTTGGGATCCTGAGATTGAATCTTGGTGATGAGCAGGGAGTCTGTTGGAAGATTCTTTCCCTCTGCCTCTCCCCTGCCTTGCACTTGCGCACATGTTTTCTCTCTCTCTCTCAGTAAATAAGTAAATCTTTTTTTGAAAGATTTTATTCATTTATTTGAGAGAATGAGAGAGAGAGAGAGAGAACGAGCAGGGGGGAAGGGGCAGAGGCAGAGGGAGAAGCAGGCTCCTCGCCGAGCAGCGAGCCAGATGGGGGGGGCTCCATCCCAGGACCCTGAGATCATGACCGGAGCCAAAGGCAGACACTCAACCAATTGAGCCACCCAGGTGCCCCAATAAATAAATCTTTAATTAAAAAAAAAGAAACATCTATAACACCTGATCGGATAGATAAGGGAGATGAAAGACAGGGAGATAGGGGCGCCTGGGTGGCTCGGTCGTTGGGCGTCTGCCTTCGGCTCGGGTCATGATCTCGGGGTCCTGGGATCAAGCTCTGCGTTGGGCTCCCTGCTCGGCGGAGAGCCTGCTTCTCCCTCTGCTTGCTGCTCCCCCTGCTTGTGCTTTCTCTCTCTCTCTCTCTGACCAATAAATAAATTAATTAAAAAAAGAAAAAAAGAAAGAAAGAAAGGGAGATATTAACATTGCTTCCCTGATCCTTGGCTTGGTAACTAATCGGCTGACAGGTCCACTGACTGAGA